AATTGGACTATGGACTGGGGGGGGCCAAGGGGAGGGGATTATATATGATATTCTTTGCTTTCGTGCCTAATTAACCAGATTCAGCTTAGCTTCCCAGCTGTTCATTTGTAATTAGTAAAAGTACACTTAATTTCAAACAAATGGAGTTGAGTGGTTTCTTTCCTGGTTATTAAATGAAGTCGCACCTGACAATTCCTCTCATTCACATACAGCCAAGGCCTGGCAAACAGTCTTTCAAAGGAGAATTTATGACCCCAGACCTTATCTAGCTTGGAAAGCTGCCATGTCCATATTTTCCCAATGAGGTTTTGTGCAAGGAAAGACCAGGCACAGAGTCTCTGAGATTCACGGACAGATCTTCACACTCCTGAAATGAATCTAACGACTGAACAAACAAATTGTTTCCTGCAAACCCCCACTCTCCTTTCACTCCTCTTTTATTTTCTCTGGGAGGGGCCATTCACCATCCACCTGTGGCCTTACTCCCAAGTCGACCCCTGTTCCTTAGCTGTACCCTTCGTCTGGCAATTCTGCGCATGCACACATTGGGAACAGGCTCCAACTGTTCTTCTGCCTCACTGATATCTGACTCTGAAGGCAGCTGATAACTGTCAGATGGCCCTGGCCCCCTCTCTGCCTCCGACACAGAGTCCTCATCAGAGCCTTCTCCAGACTCCAGGACTGGCCCAAGTTCCTCCCCAACCTCCTCACTGTCCAAATCTGCTGGCTGCTGGAGGGCCACAACAAAGATGGACCTGAGAACAGCCAACGTCACGATGATACATCGTGCGGACTTGACAGTCCGAGTCCACCAATGACACTTTTGTCCCTGTACGGTCCGGCAGTAAACCTAAACCGTCCCGAAGAGACGGTGACTAGGAAGACAAAACCTTACTGGTCGCAGGGATACCGCAAAGTCCCTGATTGACCCAAGGGAAGCGCTTCCAACCGGCGGCAAACAGGCAGCCCGCAAGCTGACAAAGTCGGAGACGACTCCGGGAGGAAAAGAAGTGAAAGTGTTCCATCTGGTGAGCAGCTGGCTCTGCTGCTAATACACTACACAAACATGACCCAACCCTTTTCCCACCTTCAGTCGATTCACAAAGTGGGCCCTTCGAAAGCAACTCTCCTTACCCAAAATGAAATGATTCTTGTCCTCCAGCAGCTTGGTGTACGTGTTGATGAAATCCAGGTAATTCTTGGGCGTGACGTAATTGCTCCTCCTGAGCTTCTGCAGGAATTTCTTGCTGTAGACGCCGACCGAACCGTGGACCATGACAATGTGGGCGATCAGCTCCTCGGTGTGCTCCGAGGGGATGAGCGGGTTGTTCCCTGGGAGAAGAAATGGGGAGGAATCAAACCCCCCCTATGCTGGCTGGGGAATTCTGGGAGTTGAAGTCTAGCCATGGTTGAGAAATACTTGTTGTAAGAAGGGGGGACAACAGCCAGTAAGGAGATACGTGAGAAGAAATCTTGCAGGGCAGAACATCTGTCTCTGCCTTAAAGCACTTTGTGTGTGCGTGTGAGAGAGAGACAGAGAGACAGAGACAGACAGACAGACAGACAGACAGTTCAAAGTTCTTTCTTACCCAAAAAGAACTTTGCAACGGCATACAGAGCTTGAGGAGGCCAGGGAAGGAACCAATCGATGCCGGTGTTGTTGACGAGGCCTTTAAAGGAAAGGATGAGTCTTACTTTCAACATATCCTAGTTCTCATTTAACTGAAATTGTTTTAATGTCCCTTTTGCCTAGAATAATCCATAGTTAAAAAAACACAACCACCTAATGGCATTTCATTAATTATTACAGAGTCATCCAACAGCCTTAAAACTTTATGACAAGAACTTTGATATTTGATATGAGTGTAAGTAACGACTCTGGAAGAGATGCACGAAAGATAATTGTAACCAATTGACACACTTTCTACAAGATGTAATGTAAGATGATTGTTTTTGTGTGTGTTGTTTGTTTAGTAAAAATTATAAAAAAAATGTTTGTTTTTTTAAAGGAAAGGATGATAAGTCAAATCAAGAAACCAAAAAACGGAATCTTCCCTGAGGGGGTCCTTGGTGCTCTCTGTTTCCTTACCAGCCCTGATGATGTTATCTAGTTGGGTCATGAAATAACCAAGCTCAGAGTCATTGTCCTCCTCCTCCTCCCCTCTCCATAAACTCTCACCCCCTTCTAGCACGGATGATGTTCCCTAGTTGGGTCATGAAACGCTTGCAAGGAAAAACCACCAAGCTCTAAGAAACTTAGTTGTCCCCCCTCTTTCCTCCTCCTCTCCAAAAGCTTTACTCCCTTCTAGCACTGATGATGTTTCCTAGTTGGGTCATGAAACGCTTGCAAGGAAAAACCACCAAGCTCTAAGAAACTTAGTTGTCCCCCCTCTTTCCTCCTCCTCTCCAAAAGCTTTACTCCCTTCTAGCACTGATGATGTTATCTAACTGGGTCATGAAATGTCTGAAAGAAAACAAGCTCAGAGAGAACCCTGGACCCCCTCATATCGACCGTGAGCTGCAAATCTTCTCCTTTATTGCTAATCTTCTCTCCCTGCTCCCTTCCGCGCTTACAGGCCATCTGCTCTTTTGCCCCTCAATAGCCTGCTGGGTCATTTCAATATTATTGGAATTAATATTATCAGAATTAATAATTATAGAATAATAATTATTATTACGTTAATCTTTGGTGAGATTCACAGCCTTTGGGGCTGGTTGGTATCTCAACAGCTCGAGTCCTAACCAAGGACCTAGGAACTGTTAAGGTAACGTCGGAGGATATAAGCTGTTCCAAGTAGGGCGGTTTTTTGTAGAATCCGAATGTTCAAGTCTGATAAATTTAGAATTTCCAAATAGGTAACCCTTTTTGCTCCAAGGGCTCCAATTACAACCGGGACAACACATGATTTCTTTTTCCACAGTCGCTCAACTTCAATTTGCAAGTCCCGGTACTTTGTGATTTTTTTTCTTGCTGTTTATCTTCAATTTGTGCATCTCCAGGTATTGCAATGTCAATGAACCAAACTTTTTTCTTTTCAACTGTTGTTATGTCAGCTGTGTTGTGGGCCAAGTGCCTGTCAGTCTGGATTCTGAAGTCCCACAAGATCTTGACTTTCTCATTCTCTAGAACCTTCTCAACCTGATGGTCGCAGTGGTTTTTGCTCTACTCAAATCCAAACTTTCGGAACAATTTCCAGTGAATGATCTTAGCAACGCGGTCATGGCGTTGTAGGTAGTCAGTTGGTGAAATTTTGCTGCACCCGCTGGTCAAGTGGTCGACTGTCTCGTCTTTCTCATTACAGAGGGGACATTTGCTGTTGGTGGTAACATGCTGAATTTTTGCCTTCATGTAGTTTGTGGCTGTTCTTGAGCTGCCAAAATAAAGCCTTCTGTTTCTTTTTTCAGTGATTACTATTATTATTATTATTATTATTATTATTATTATTATTATTATTATTCTGAGGTGGCACAGTGGTTAGAGTGCAGTACTGCAGGCTACTTCAGCTGACTGCTAGCTGCAGTTCAGGAGCTCAAATCTTTACCAGCTCAAGGTTGACTCAGCCTTCCATCCTTCTGAGGTGGGTAAAATGAGGAGACCCAGATTGTTGGGGGCAAAAGGCTGACTCTGTAAACCACTTAGAGAGAGCTGTAAAGCACTGTAAAGTAGCATGTAAGTCTATTGCTATTGCTTTGCTCTTCCTTTTCTCCTTCCTTCCTTCCTTCCTTCCTTCCTTCCTTCCTTCCTTCCTTCCTTCCTTCCTTCCTGCGAATGGTTAGAATGCAGCACTGCAGGCTAACTCTGCCAACTGCTGGCAGTTCGATCCTGACAAGCTCAAGGTTTGACTCAGCCCTTCCATCCTTCCAAGGTGGGTAAAATGAGGAGACCCAGATTGTTGGGGGGCAAGAGGCTGACTCTGTAAAACCGCTTAGGGAGGGCTGCAAAAGCAATATGAAGCGGTATATACGTCTAAGTGCTACCGCTATTGGGAAGGACTGCCCATCTGAGGGTTACCTGGAAAATTTCGGCAGCGAGTTCTCAGGGTCTCCCCCACAGGGGACATCCCGAGGACAATGTGGAGGTTGTTGGCGCTCTTGTTGACAAAGTACTGCCAGACGCTCTCTTTGGCTGGCGCGATGCCCGTTTTCATGGCTTCCTGGGTGATTTGACTGAGGATGTTGTCCCGCTCGTCATCCGCGTACAAGGCTGGGACGATGCCTGTGGAGCACCAGGGGGAACAAGAAGGGAAGGTGAGAGACTGGAAGTGGGGACGTCGCCACAGCCGGAGCCAAGGTGGACCTTGAAGAAGAGGAAGCAGCTAGTTCAAGGGAGTAAGTTACTGTTTTCCGGAGGTCCCAGAAGCTCCCGGGATGAGAAGCGAAACACTTGCAAAGAAAAACAAAAGAAAACAAGAAAGTACAGTTGCCTTTGGAAAAGCTCCTTTGGGACAACCATGTCCTGGATGATGGAGAATTTCCACAGGAAAAAATGGATTTTCTGGTGTTTTGAGTGGGTGAGGAACTGGCCCTATTGATTGTCAAATGTCTTCCCTCTTTTTTTTTTTTTTTACAACTTTCTCTCCAGCCAGAGGTTGAGAACAGAAGACAGGACAAAAAAGTAAACATTTCACTCAAGGAACATTTACAGGGAGAAATTACTATCTATCTATCTATCTATCTATCTATCTATCTATCTATCTATCTATCTATCTATCTATCTATCTATCTATCTATCTATCTATCTATCT